TGGAAATGAGTTTAAGGTCTAAGGATATGTTATTGGGGAGTTTACTACCTTAAACTCATGAGTTTACAATCGTAAACTCATATTTGTCCATGAATCAAGGGCCTTGGTGGTTGTAATTCAATCACATGTGATTCTAGTCCAACATACAAGCCATTCAAGGTGATAAGGGCACTTAAACACCCATTTGAAGAGTTTATGGCCTAGGAAGATGAGTTTATGGTCTAATAATGTTCTTGGAGCATAAACTCTCGTTTGTTCCATTTATGAATGTTTTGGTGCATTTCTTGAAGGGTTATACGATTATATGCACTCATGGAAGTTCATTGAAGGTGTTTAGGGGCAAACTAACACCCAAAATGGTGTTTAAGGTCTAAGATTGAAGGTGTACGGTCCAAGAAGGTTCTTGGACCGTAAACTCATGTTCATACATCAAATGTCATGATTTTTGGGTCCTTATTCCATGCATGCAAGTTTCTAGGTCGAATCTAGGCCCTAGAAGTGTTTTGGAGGGGTTTTCAGGCTTCAAAACCCTCATATGAGGTGTTCACGCCCTAAGGAGGGTTCTTAGACCATAAAAACATGTTCATATGTGTTTTGGGTGATTCCAACATGAATTTGCAAACCCAATTAAGTTAGATAACAACTTTAGGATGGATTTCTTACCAAATGATGCTTGAAATGCGGTTTTTGAGCCAATTCGAGTTCTAGAGAGAGAGAGTGTAGTGAGAGAAAGTTTTTAGAGAGAGGGAAAAAGCCTCAAAATGATGTCACTCAATCCCTTATATAGGGGTTGAGTTTCTGGCCCGGTGGAATTCTACCCGATACTGCCGTTAGACGATGCTTTTTGGTCGCACCCGATTAATTTACCGTAATTACGATTTAGACGAAACTAAATATTTTCTAAATGAAAATAGAAAATATTTTAATGAATTAAAATGTAATCCAACTCTTATGAAATTTAAATAGAAGTTGCAAATAAATTAAATTAAAACAAAGTTGACGGAAACTTTTGGAACGAAATGACTTTATTAACGGAACCGGGTTAAGGCGACGGAATAAATTACGGGGTGTCACATTATCCCCCCATTAGAGAGAATTTTGTCCCGAAATTCAAACTTTAGATGTGACTCGCAGATTTGGAAGGAGAATACGAATACTCTGTTCTATTGGATCATCAAGCTTCCAAGTGAATCCAGATTCTCGTATGACATTCCGGGAAAACTTTCATCTTTCGGAATATAACTTGTTTCATACGTTTAACCTCTTGATCTATGAATTTGATTGGTTTTACAATGATGCTCAGACCTTCCTTGATTCCTGTCTCATCAAGGGGATTACCAGGGTTTCATCGGGTAGGTACTTCTTAGAGACAGTGACGTGAAGTACCAGATGGATGTGACTATGTTCTGAAGGTAGTTAGAGCATGAAGGTTATAGAATCGGTCCTAATGACGATCGTGAAGGGTCTAAAGTATCACGAGGGATGTAGTTCGCACTCCTCAAAGCATATTATGCTTTTCTGGGATAAAGCCTTCAACAGGACACATGCTACAACAGGAAAGCATATCTTCATGGAGCCGAGTAGCTAAGGGTCTGATGGTTCTAGAAGAAATTTATAGGTAGGTCTGCGATAATAATCGACGGGACCCAAGAATCGACAGGTTTTTATGGGTATTTTCGGTGCCAACAATTTCCCTATTGCCTTAGATGTAGGAGAAGTACACGATTACGACTGCTTTGCTTGGCTACATGATCGAGGGAAAGAGATCTGACCGAAAGGATACCACTAATAACCCGTAGTGATCATATCAATTCTTGGTCACCGTTTTGAACACGCCATTCTCACTGAGGTTCGGTCATGAGGTAGATCCAGATATTAGGCTGATGCGGAACTAAGCTAAATGTTCGAAAGGAATTCTCGGGAATTCTTCGGGAAAGACATTTAGGGGAAAGAGTTGTTGACTTCCCGTTTCTTAATGATCACAGAAACGAGGAATACGTGGTAATTCATATCGGGAAAAACTTTTGAGCTTTAACGCATGGATTGATACGAAGGTTTGATGCCGAAGATCACAAGAGTCGGGTCGGGGAAAAGATCTAGATGAGCGACCATTTTCGAAACTAAAGGATAGCCACATGAATGAGACTTGGTCATTCCATGTCAAACATAGCATCAAAGTATTTTGTGGAAAGTTTCCCCCTTTTAAATCGAATGGAACAGAATAATCCTGCGGACTAAGGATTCAATCTATAGGTATGAAGTTAGTGTTCTCTATCTCACTGGTTAGTCGCCTTGATTGTACTCAATTTCGATTACGGACAAAGGATTAAGTTTAGAAATTGCTCAGATGGATAGATAACAAGTTTCCCTTCTGGTACTAGAATCGAAAAGAGTTGCAGGGATAAGAATTGTCAAAGAAGAGTATACCTGCGGCGACAGTGGGATCAACGGTTGTAGCTGCTTTGGGGCAATTTCTTTTGAAGTGCCCTACTTCACCACAAGTATAGCAGGCTGGACTAATTCCCGCTCCAGATGATTGGTTTGTTGATTTGGCTGGTTTTTTGAAGGTTCGAGCAAGGTGGCCCTTCTTGCCATAGTTGTCACAGATTCTTTCGCGACATGGACCAGGAGTACGGTGATGGTAGCTGCACTTACTACACCAAGGAAGGGTACCAGTGTATCCACTGGTAGGAGTTTGGGCCATGGATCCGAAAACTGAAACAGCAACAGGGGCAGTAGCAGCATGGACTGCTACTTTTTGCTGTTTCTTAGAAGACCCTTGCGTACTCTGGGCCTTCCGCTTGTTCCAAAATTTCTTTTTGCTTCCACCTCCACTTGTGATTGGCTCGGGGGTGGTAGCCTCCTCATCAGAGTTGTCTTCGTGATCGATCAAGATTTTCGCAAGACATTTAGCGCTGTCATAGGTGTCTGGCTTCGCAGCTAAGACATTCCCTTTTGTTGGCTAGGTCAACCCCCAAATGAACCTCTCAATCTTTTTACTCTCCGGGGTAACCATTCTCGGACAGAGTAACGCCAGATCATGGAATCTTGAAGTATAAGAGGTTATGTCGGAACGCTTCATCTTTAGGTTCCAGAGTTCGTGTTCTAGCTTCTGTATTTCGCTCCAAGGGCAATACTCTGCAAGCAGAAGCTCCTTCATAGCTTCCCAACCCATAGCATTTGCTACAGGTAGAGTCAAGGATTTGACTCGGCTGTTCCACCAAGTCAGGGCTTTGTCAAGGAAGGTGCAGGCGGCAAACTTTACTTTGTCAGATTCCGAACAGGCGCATATTTCAAAGATTGATTCGATTTTCTTGAACCATCGGGTGAGGGAAATGACAACTCCAGTGCCATGAAAGGATGTGGGCTTCGCATTCATGAAGTCTTTATACGAACCCCCTTTTTGGTGTCCCTGGCTATCTTTTGGGTTTTGGGGCTGGTGACCACTTCCTAAGTTACCGGGGTTCATTTGCGACATGGTTGCTACCATTGCAGCAGTCAGAACTGTCTGAAGCGATGCAAGATCAAATTGAGGACGAGGTGGTGGCGGAGGAGGATTGTTGTTGTTCTTTGAGTTGGGTCTCTTTCTTGGAGGCATCTTGATCTAAAAATATCAGGAAAGAGAGGATCATAAGTCCTCTGAATTGAATCAAGAGATATGGGATAGGGGATATCTCATCAAGACAGATATAACATCATATTAAGCGATAAAACAGGAAAGAGTTATCAAGGCAGATAATTTTTATCGCTAGAGGAATGATCAAGGAACAACACGTATACGAGGATTTTCTACCAAGGATCGGCTCGAGAAATACTCCCATAGTATTTCATGATTCACTGCAATGACGACTCGTTGTTTGGAGTATTTTAACCGCAGCGTACAACACCCATTTACTTATGTTTTGTTCTACTTGTAGTTACGGATCATGACGGTTCGGTATACTTGTATACTTTTGAAAATACTTATAGTTTGAAGATACTTTTAGTTCAGAGCACTTAGGCCCTTTAATGTTTATAGTTTTATACCATGTAAGGTTTGGTATACTCCGTTCACTATAAACAAGGGCTCTGATACGAATCTGTCACACCCCAAAAACCAAAGGCGGAAACATTTCTGGGGTTGACTCCACGTTGAGTATCAAATCCAATGTACATAGTAATCACAATAAACAACCATTACATTACATATATTTGAAAGTTTACATTTGTTTCAAAAGTAAATTGTACAAGTGTTATACATATATCATATGAACAAAAGTTGAGACGAGTCTTCTGAGCTCTCCGTCTTCACCAAAATATATCGCCAGGTACCTGTCTAATTTGGACCTGAGAATACAAGCGTTTTGAAAATCAGCATAAAGCTGGTGAGTTCATAAGATGTTTGTTTCCTGAAAATGTACCAGTTTCCTTTAGTTTTCCGAAAAGGTTTATTATCCAAGAAAATCCCATATTTTCTTATGTTAAACACTTTAGTTATCCTTCATTACAGTTCAATTACGCGTTACATGTTAACCCCACACTACTAGAAAAAAAGTCTTTTACGAAGCTAATTGCACATCGTAAAACGCTCAGACGACGCGCAAATGCGCATCAAGGAAGACCTTGTTATAACGAGAGATGACACGCTTTTGCGCGTCATCTATAGACGACGCGCATTTACGACACACAGTTATGACGCGCAATGCGTATCAAGGAAGTCCCTGTCATAAAGTTAGACGACATGCATTTGCGTGTCGTAACCTTACAACGCGCGTGTTTATGACACCCAATGCGTATCAAGGAAGCCCCTATCAAGAAAGATCATGTCATAAATGAAGATGACACACATTTTTGCGTATCGTAATTTTAAATGTTTAAAAGAAAATATTATTTATAGATTTACTAATTTTCAAATTAAATTTGCATTTAATGTCTCATAAAAAAAATACCATATACAAAAAATACAATCCATTGCGTAAACTTTAATGTCATATAAATAATCGATCCGTGGAAAGATAAAACAAATCAATAGAAGTTTTCTCCCTATACATGATTATCACATACTAAATAACAAGCTTTATTTCATATTCATACATATGATTACATTATTCATTAAAAAACATATATGATAATATTTAAGAAAACAGAAGGGAGGATTTGTAAATTGTAATTGAACCTTCTCTGTGGATTCAGCTTTGTTCTCGGCTCCTAAAGTTTCAGTGGCGGCGCCATATACAAGCTTCATCTAGTGGCTCCACAAGCTGTGTATCTTGAGGGATTTCCACTTTCATCCGTATGTCTGTCCTGCTTGTTTTTTTCATAACAACACACCATGATCTTACCTAATATATTTTTTTTTTACTAAAGAAAAATAGATACAATGGTGAAGTGAAAGAGCATGTAGATAGAGACAGTTAATTAATTACCTGGTAACAAGCTGAAATGTTGAATATGGTAACAAGCTGAAATGTTGAATATGGTCCGAAGGAAGTCCCAAGACACCAAAATTTTAAGCAAACATTTACATACTCCTATTAAAGATTCTATAAAACAAAATTTTATAAGAAAGAATGTTCAAAGAGAAGATGAAGATCGAATTCAACTGACTTTCCAAGAGCTTTCTCATGTACAACAAGGCCAGTTCCAGTTCCTTCCAACCCTACACAAAGTATCACATCCAATTAGTAAGTACATTGCTATTAAGAGGTTTTCCCTGACTATATAACCTAATATTACATTGCTATTAAGAAACACCTTCTTGTTTCTACTTTTTATTGTTATGCTTTTCTTTCCACATGATACATGTTTTCATCATCAATACATTAGTATTCAGAAAGGTTTAAAGCATCATCAATCTATGTTATAAAATATTAAAATTTAATACACATGTAAATGGATAATGGTATTTGTTCTAAAACAATATTAACCTTATCAAAGTCATCACCACCAATATGTATGTCTCTAGAAGTAGAAAGCACCTCAAAAACTCCATCACCAACTTCAAGAACTACAACAAATAAAATGGGAAACAAACATCAGAAAATATTTTTAAAATAAAACATCATGTTGAATTTAAAACTTAGTTATCCCAAATCGTGTCCCCTCACCTGAAACATCAAAACCATAAGCAATGTGACCTGCATCTTTTGTTGCTATTCTTTGGGAATCATTGAAATAAGCAGGAACTGTTACAATAGCTTTTGTGACCTTATCATTCAGAAACTTTGAAGCATCATCCACAAGCTTTCTCAAAACCTAATGATAATAGAGAAGCAACCAGATAAGCCAAATTAGGGCAAAAATATCTTTAGGCTAGCAACTCAGTTCAATCGATCACAAAATAAACTAAGAAACGAATTTTGGTTGAAATTAACAGAATCATACGATACAATTGACTATGGAGTGAACATTTTGTACCTGTAAAAAATTTGTTGAGTTGTACCTGCAAACATGATGACATGTCGAATACTCAAATGTAGTTACATTGATCTTTGATAAAAACAAATATAGAAAAAGTAAATTCCTGGCTATAAAAAAAATCAGCCTTGTCAAAACGTTTCTTAGCTTCCTGTATCACTCAACACGTTTAGATGAAATGAAAGCAAAACTACAATCGCCAAACAATTATTTATACTTTTAGACTTTAGTAACTGTATATAGCATAGCATGTCTTTTGCATTCATATAAACACTTCCTGCAAGTCAAATGAACGAAATAAGAAGGGATAATCAACTCAGTTGACTACAAACATACCATTCAAGTGGTTGGATAGATAACCTAAAATTCTATTTGACTAAATGACAGCACTCAGCACATATAATATGGGAAACTGAAGCACAAATAATATATACAAGTTTGAGAAAAGGGTCATTTATCTAACAAAATAAAGCACAACACCCATTTAGGCTATAGCTTTCTTACCCTACTAAGCCAGAGTCATGTCCCCTTCGACTTGATCAAGTAAAAAAGAAAGCTATATACACCACCCTATGAGCGTTTCATTTTTAGCGACTTAGTGCATAAAAAACAAAAAAATCATAAGGGAGAAAATAAGGAGGCTTTTCCCATTGATTAAATATTAAGTTTTACAAATTTTCCCTCATTAGTTATATCCCAAAGTCAGTGATTTTTTGTAAATGTTTTGAACTGAATTATGAATTATCAAGAAAGCACTTGGTGTCGGAATTTTCATAAATTTATTTAATGGATGTGGTTGATAGAGATAGATAATGAAATATGAAATGAAAAGATTTGATGGAAATTACCTGATTGGGTAGCAGCAGGGAAGTCTGGCTGGTTTTCAGGCATAACATGTTGGAAAAGCAGGTATGCCTCATGCAGCCTAGCCAAAAGAGGGAATGATGTCTGTGCCAAGTGCCAACCAATTAAATTACAACTTTTACAATTTTCTTTAACCAAATCCAAACTTACATTAACAACATCTGCTACCGTACCCACCTGCATCCTACATTCATTTTTTAATTCCTATTAAGGCATTTTACATTGAAAATTGTAGCATTCTACTTTCAATTCTTTTCTTATTAGGCATTATTATTACGCTTGAAAAAATCCGACCAACAATTATATAATTTGCAGATCGAAATGGGAAGTATTAATGAATGTATGTTGCTATTTCTTGCACTTAACTCTATATAATTTGCAGCATTTCAGAGGGAGATCCTACCATGTCAAAGTTAAACCTTTTTATTGAACCATGGATTTGTGGTGCCGGAAATACATCAACCTACAAAAAGTTAACAGGACAATTTTGAAAAACACTCATATTAAATGGGATGTCCACAGTAACAGCTAGCAATTTATTTATTTGCATCAAATCACGTAACATTTTCAAAATTTGTTTTGTTTGTTGAGCAACCACCCAAACTAAGCGGGATGTTTGGAATCTGGCCTGCAATGAATTTATAATAAAATTTTAAATTTTTATTTATTTTTAAATTAAAATGAATTCAACTTTATACACAATTAGAATTTGAAGGAACGCCGCCATTATGATTTCACCTGAATATGATGGACAATTGGGATTGACAGAAATGTACATCACGTATTCAGATGAAACCTATTAATGTTATAGTTATGGCATTAGCAAATAGCAATTAATATTTAGGTTTAAATAGGGAAAGATGAAGAAACCACCTGATAGTAATAGAAAATTACACTTTTAGTCCGTGGGTATATGATTTTTAACAATTTTGGTTTATTTATTCCAACTGCCAAGTAATGATTTTTAAACTTACAGGGCATGAAGAATCAGTCCATTTTGAAATACAAGAACAATGGAATAAATGGTTGCAGATTGTTGTTAGAATCCCCCTCATATCTTGGTCCAATCTCTCTACAAAAAGAACATTGATTCAATCTCTCGAAAAATCATAGACGAAAAATCAGCTGAGATTTGGTATATAATATATAAATTACCAAGACAAACAGGACATGAGGGCTGCTCTGCATTTGCTGGGGAAGTCTACGTGTGTTCAATTGAGCTTGTGTATTGAACATCAACAGTGAAAAGCACACGACATGATTATGTCTGTATTCAAAAACCAGAATTTATTGAAATTAGAATAACTACTTGCATTGCATGATGATTAAATAAAGTATGGTTATTGAAGAATGAAAACCTCCAAATATTAGAAACGCCTTCCATTAAAATGTTTGTGAAATGAATCTGTTGAGCTTTGATCATCGAATCTTACCAAGATGCTATACAGGTTTTCCATTCCATCATTCCTGAAACCAACATGCCATCAATACTCTTGGAATTTCGGATTAACCAGTAATCTTGTGATCTCACATCTGAAGCTGCAACTGCTCAAATTTCACAACTATCGAAGGTGAAAAGCATTCTTTTGACCCACCATGAATTAAAGAACTGATTTAAGTGTTCCACTACACGGTTTCTCTCTTGCGATCTCACATCTAGAGCTTGTTTGCAGCTGTCAACCCTGCTATTCCAGCCCCGATTATCACTATTCTTGGCTTCTTTATAACCATTTTACCAAAAAAAAAAACTTGTGATAATTTATGGGTTTTCAAGAAAGAAAGATTTTATTTGTAGAAAAGATTGTGTGTTTGAGCTTATGACACTGTGAACATACAGAGAACTTGAGGGTTTTCTTCTTCTCTTTGTTTTGAGTGAAAAAGAAACAAGAATGAGAGTGGTGATGAGTGATGAGTTTAAGTTTCAAATTGTTGTCTTGTTTCTTCCTTCTCTAGTTCTTCTAAAAGCTTCTCTGCCTTTTCTTTATTCTCCAATTCCTATCATTTAGTAGACGTGAAACAACATATTTGAGTGGAAGGGCATTTTGGGTATTTTCATTATTAGATTGATACCTTAGACAATTTGGAACTAGTCTTCTTAATGGTTGTTTCACGTGACCTTTGTTTCCTTTGTTCAATGTCAATTTCAAGTTTTTGGTCATTAATTTCACCAAGTTTGATTAACTTTTTTGTAGCCTGTGATTTGGCGTGTGCCTGTGCAGCTTACCAGACAGGATTCACAGCCTTGGCTTCCTGAGCAGAAGCTTCCACCATCCTCTCCATAGATTCTCTACTGAACAAAATTTATTTTTATGAAATAAACATATTTAACTTCTTTGGAAAATATAAAATATGAATTTCAAATCAAATAGTCAAAAATAACACTTCACGTTAGTTTTTTTTTTTTTATCCATTCCATCATGCACATGGAATGGAATTTTGTAACATACTAACATAACCATTTTTATTTATGTAACTTATAATCACAAAAATCTTAAAGCATTCATGATTTTAACTAAATAACAATATTATTTTCTAAAATAAGCAAGAAAATATACTTTTACTAGGATTTGAATGTGATTCTATTAATTATGAATGTTTTAATATTTATGTAAATAGCTACAATAGTTTTAGGAAGAGTATTCAGAGCAATGATAATATTTACTCTTGAACCACAATTAGCAAGGTATTATGTTAGATTAAAAAAAACCCTAATAAATAAGTAGCAGAGCAGTTAAGAGAATTATCACACTTGTATACATGATTTTTATATTTTATGAGCAGAAATAAGATACAAAATCAACGACATTGCAAATCAATTAGGAACGAAAGTCAAACTATAGAACCTATTGCAAAACGATATTCAAACTCCCCTAAATTGCACTAACAAAATGAACAAAGTAAACCTAAATGGCCAAAATGAGAGTTGCAGTTCAAAAATCAGGGCAATCATATGAACGAATAAATAAAAGCATCAAAGAAACTACAATATATGGAATTAATGAGACCAAAAGATTTTCACCTCTGCTGGAGCAAAAGAGAGATAGCTTGATAGAGGTTTTGAATTTGAATAATTGCATCCAGGGGTCTGAATTGACATTTTGAAAGTTGAAGGTTCTGTTAGTAGTTGATAGCTAGATGTGTGTGGAACTTCAACGTAAGGAGGAAGAGGAAATATGTAGAGATGTTGATTAACTTGTAACGAAAATTTTGTAAATAGATAAACAAATTATTGACATGCCTGTATCTTTCTTTAGATGGTACAAAATGTGACCAACAAAGTAGTGTTCTACTGATCTGCCATTATTGATCCCATATCTTTTGTGTGTAATCAGAAGAATTCAAAGATCCGAGTTTCCATAAGTTATTATAGAAGATTTCAACCTTTTGGCTATATCTGGACAGCTAACAAGATAGATTCCAACTTCCTTCACCTATAAAATCAAATAGTAATACAAATCAGTAAGCCATTTAGAAAATTTTTAAAATTTATAAAAAGTTACCTGAGTGAGAGATTTCCGATCATTATTAGCAGATCCAATATAAACATATCGGGAAATATAATATCCAAACTTTAGCATGGAGCACACCTGAGTTAAACCAATCTTTAATCAATAAGGTTACATTCTTTATATTTGGCCCCCTGAAGCAAGTGCAGAGGGTTCTTCAGTGTAATCAGGATATACTCCTGAACAAAACTCATTTTTGCATAAAAAAGAAAAGCTTAATGAAGAAATATCAAAAATAGAAAAACAACTTACCCAAATATACGTCTTTGCCAGGGGTTTCTTAACTTAGTGTCATCAAGCTTCCTTATCTGAGGCATTAATTACCAAACACAAATACATAACCACAGACCTTAGTTAGTAGTTGAATCACCAAGCACAACCATAAATCTTCGAGGAGTCGCAGCCACCGATGAGGTGAGATGAGCCGACTTCGCCAAACTATTGTAGAGAGCACTCCTTTACGTTTTGAATGGTTCTTGAAAAAAGCCATAGAATCGTCCCTTAAATTTTTTTTTTTGTGTGTGTGTGTGTGTGTGAGAGAGAGAGAGAGAGAGAGAGAGAGAGAGAAAGAGATAGATATAGAGATAACGATAGCGATAAGTGTGTGTTCTTGAAAAAAGCCCTAGAATCGTCCCTTCAATTAGGGTTTGTAGAGAGAAGAAAAGAAGAGATTTGATTTCGAGAACATGTTGAAGGCGGTGGAGAAATATAAGGCCTTGAATCAGAGATGGTATGGTGATTAGGGTTTGTAGAGAGAAGAAAAGAAGAGAATGAAGGGATATCTTGAGACAAGCGCGCGTTTCATTAAAATTAAAAGGCGACCATAATAGAGGACGCACGTTTAATATAAAGCGCCCTCCGTGTTTTTGATTTTTTTTCTTTAACACACTAATTTAAGGGCACGCAATAATGCGTCACCTAAATGCTTAAAATTTTTGAAGAGATGACGCTATTTTAAGGTCACTCTCTTTTGCGTAACATGAATCTCTGAGTGTCGTGGTTTGCGCGTCGTAAAAGGGCATTTTTATAGTAGTGGTCATACATGAACTGAATCTCGTTATTCACATCCTCTTTCCACTTTGCAGACTTTGGGCCTGCCATGGCTTCCTTGTAGCTATTAGGTTAATCCAAACTTACTAGTGTACAATCACTAATAAACGTATCACCCTCACTTGTTATATGAAAACCATATAACACAGGTGGAATATTAACTCTACTGGAACGTCTAAGTGGTAAGGACTCATCAATCGATTCAACATGAGTTTCCTCCTTGGGTTGAGCGCCATCATTAGAGGTTCCTTCATCACTTGATTCTTGAAGCTCTTCGAGATCAATTTTCCTCCCAGTGTCCCCTTGTCTTATGAGTTCTCACTCTTAGAAAACCCTTCTCCTCGCAACGAAGACAACATAGTCACTCGGTCTATAGAAGAGATATCCAAAGGACTTATGCGGGTAGCCGATGAAAATACACCACTCACTACGAGGTTCGAGCTTGTCGTGAGTCTCTCTTCTTATGAAAGCCTCGAAACCCCAAACCTTGATATGTGCCAACGAGGGAGCTTTCCTAGTACACATATTGTGAGGTGTTTTGGCAACCTTCTTTGTAGGGAATAAGTTAAGGATATGGGTGGCAGTCTCTAAGGCATACCCCCAAAATGAGTTAGGTAACGAAGCACGAATCATCATGGAATGAACCATATCTAACAAGTTTCGATTATTCCTCTCAGCCACACCATTCACCTGCGGAGTCCTAGGTGGCATCAATTGCGAAACAATTCCACATTCCTTGATGTAATCGTGGAATTCAAGACTAAGGTACTCACCACCTCGATCAGATCGGAGCATCTTAATTTTCCTGCCCAGTTGATTCTCCATTTCTTGCTTAAACTCTTTGAAATTTTCAAAGATTTTTGACTTGTTCTTGATTAAGTAGATATACCCATATCTGCTATAATCTTCGGTGAAATTCATATAGAAGCGGTTCGCATCCCTTGTGGTGGATCTAAAGGGACCACACACATCGGTGTATATGAGATCCAATAAACCCTCACACCTTTCACAAGTGCCAATGAAGGGTGACTTTGTCATCTTTTCAAGTAAAAAAGACTCGCACACGTCATCATCCTTAAGGTCGAATGACTCCAACACTCCATCCTTTTGGAGTTGGGCTATGCGCTTCTTGTTGACATGTCCAAGACGACAATGCTACAAGCATGCTTTATCTAAACTATTGCAAGAATCGATATACAACATATTATTTCCTAAGTTGTCTACAACCATCACAGTTTTGTATATTTCATTACAAGGCAATGCTTCAAAATAGAAAGTACCATTAAGGAAAGCATTAATAGAACCTTTTTCAATATCAAATGAAAATCTAAAACCTTGTTTATACATACCATGAAAAGAAATAATGTTCATGTCGTTTATGATGAATAACATCAATTATTCAAATCTAAACCTAACCCACTACTAAGCACTAAAGAGTAAACTCCAATCTTGGTGACAGACAACGCTTTCTTATTCCCCATTATCAAGTTTATCTTCCCATGCTCCACATCCCTACTTCTTCTTAGGCCCTACAAATCAGAACAAATGTGAAAACCACACCCTGTATCAAGGACACAATACATAGAATGTGATGAGTTATTAGAATGAATAGTATAAATACCTACGAAGGAAGACGTGATCTTTCAATCCTTGATATCTTGCAAGTACTTCAGGAAGCTTCATTTCGAATGCCCTTTCTCGTGGAAGTAGTAGCACTCTGCATCCTTCGGGTTGGAGGAGGGTGCAGCGGGATCAAACTTGGTTCCACTAGAAGAAGTACCATCTTGGGACTTTCCCTTCTGGTGGCTCTTAAAAGGATCCTTCCTTTTCTTACCATTCCCTTGCCTAATTTCCAAGACGAGGGTGGTAGTAGTAGTTGATGCAACATATTTATCTTTTAGACTACTCTCAGCAGGCCTTGAAACTTGCTTAGAGTGACCTCCTCCTTGTTCATGTGATAGGTCATGTGTAACTGATTATAACAAGGAGGTAAAGATTGAAGTATGATATCTATGGCCAGCTCTTCATTGAAGATAACATTTAACTTCAGCAAGCGGTCCACATATCTCTGCATATTCTATAGGTGGGCCATGACGAACTCTCTGTGTTCATCTTGGCAGTGATCATCACAGCGATGATATCTTACCTTTCATGCCTCGCACTTTGATGGTACATATCCATCAAATCTTGGTGCATCTCATAGGGGTATTAGTCCTTGTAGGACTTTTAGAGTTGTACGGTCATAGTCGTGAGCATGATGCAATGGACTTTCATAGCATCTCACTCCTAAGCTTCAAAGGCAACGATCTCTGGAGTAGCAATGTTGATGTTAACTTCTTTCAACTCCTTGTTGAGGACATACTCCTTATCCTCGTAACAAGTAACCATTCAAATGTTGCGGATCTAATTATTGAAGTTGGACCCATCGAAAATCACCCTCCCACACAAATTCATGAGTAAGAATGAGCGGGAAGAGGTTGAGCCAGAAACATTGTTGTTGTTCGAATTAGACATCTGAAATAGAAAAGAGAAAAAGTTTGATTAGATAAGAATCCCCAATTAAATACCCAAATGAGAAATTAGGGCTAGGATCCAACAACATTATTTGCAATTTAGAAGAGGGATGTTGTAATCTAAACAACATATAATTTGAAGGTAAGTGAATGAGATTCAAAATTTTCCACCATGAAAAATGAAAAGGAAATTAAGTTTTAAATATTGAAAACTCCTAGATCTTTTGAGAT